CCCGGGCCTCCCCCCCGAGCCCCCTGCCCACCCCACCTCACCCACCCCAGCCACCTTGGTCCGAGCCCAGCCACCTTGTCCCTGCCAGCAGCAGATGGCGTTCATTTAGTGGCCACCACCCACCTCTTCACCTCGCTCACACGCAGCCTCCAGGAAAAATCAGGGACCCCCCCACTCTCCTGCAGCGCCCCTGTGGGCCCATCTGTTTCCCCACCACACTGGAAGGCCAGACCGCGTGACCCTTCTCAGGCCAGCTCTGCCGTGGGTCCCAGGCACAAGGCCCCACCACTCTCTGGGCCTTAGCTTCCTGTGGACCCCTGGGTCCTCAAAGCGGAAGTCTGCTGGTCCAGAGTCAGGGAGCCACCCGCCTCTGTGGTGTCTCTGATGTTGGCACGGCAGTCTGGCCTGCTGTGCCCAGGAGGCTGAGGGACTGCCCTCGCTCTGGTTACCCTCACAGGGTGGGCATTCCCAGCACGGAGGGGAGACAGGGCCAGCGTGAGGCCATGAGCTGCCATAGTAAAGACCAGGGAAGGATTCTGACTGGCCCAGTCTGTGGTACACTCCCACCATTGGGCCAATCACTGTGCCAGGAAATGGAGGGCTGTGATAGGTCAGGCCAAAATCAGGTGGCATCTCCAGGGCCAGAGGGTGGCTTACTTGGCTGCCCCTCCAGAACCAGAATGCAGAATTGGGAAGGAGAAGCTCCCCCAAAGAAGTAGGGGTGCTGCATGTAACTACAAAAGGGGGAAGATTGGCAGATTAAAACAGCAGGAGTTGCTGGGCATGGTGGCACACATGCTTGTAATCCCAGCTTTCTGGGAGGCTGAGGCAGGAGGATGGCAAGCTCCAGTCTAAGGATGGCCCAAGAGAAGGGACCGCCGCAGCTAGGGTATAAATGGGGTCTTTGCCTGGATGTGACAGCTGGCCTTGTGACTCCTTCTAACTCAGATCTTCCTGCCTCAGTGGCATCTGATGAGAAAGGGACACTGGGGCTGAGCAGACCAGGTGCTGGAGTGAGACAGAGAAAGGAGGCGCCGGCAGCAACATCAAAAGCACAGAGCAGACACAGTGGGGCCCGGGAGACAGGACGTGCGCTTGTCCCCTGCTCCTCCCAAGGTCACCCGCTGCGGGCTGTGGGGGCAGCGGTGCCCTCAGCCTGGGTCCCTCCCGGCCACAGAGCCCTGGCAGAGCAGGGCAGCTTGGCGTTAATTAGGGGCCCAGCTAATGGCTCGGAAGATTGGCCGGTTCCAGGGAGCTGATGGATAGAGACCTCGGTGAGATTTATTCCTAATTATCTCATTTGTCTCTCCCCATTACTCTTTATGGCCGGGATTTATGGGACCATTTGGGGGCCTGTCCAGGCCAACACGAGTGCCAGCCTTGAGACGCTGCCTAATAACAATAACAACGCACACCGTGCCTGGATTGATGGCGCACTCGCCTTCCTGCACTCTGTCCTTGGAACCTGGAAACCTGAACCTCCCTGTCCCTTCCCTTCCTGGGCCCAGGTCCTCAAGCACCTCTGCCTGCGCCCCTCCACACACCGGCCTCTCTTGCCACCTTGAGGTGCAGTGTAGCAGTGAGAGGAGATGATGTGAAAGAGGATAAGGGTCAGCAGGGCATGGTGGCACACTCCTGTAATCCCAGCACTCAGGAGGCTGAGGCAGGAGCATCACCATGAGTGCAAGACCAGCCTGGGCTACATAGTGAGTTCAAGGCCAGTCCCAACTATATAATGAGACTCTTGTCTCAAAAAAAAAATAAAGAGTGCAAGGGCCATGGGGTTAGTAGGTGTTCTTTTTTTCTTCTTCTTCTTCTTTTTTGGTACCAGGCATGGAACTCATAACCTTGTGTTTGAGAGGTAGGCAGTGGCACCACTGAGCTAAATCTCCACTGGTAATAGATATTCTCTTTTTTTTTTTTCTTTTTTCTTTTTTTGGTACTGGGGATCAAACTCGGGTCCTTGCGCTTGCAAGGCAGGCGGCAGAACCACTGAGCCCAATAATAAATATTCTTAACAAGCAGCTGAAACCCCGAGCACATGCGGTTTAACTCATAAGGGCATTATGGTCCCCTTACCTAGAAATGAAGACAAGGTGACACCTAAGCTGATCAGAGGGCTCAGGTGCTGCCAGGGAGCCTGGATTCCAGCCTTCTCCTCTGCGCAGGATGTGACCCACGTCTCCTCTCTTGGTCCCAAAACAGCTACTGCAGCCCCAAGCACCGCATGCTCACACAGCCTCCCACAAGGAACCACAGGGCAGGTGGGAAAGAGGAGCCTCCCCACCTCCCGCGCATCTTTTACAGTCCACGGAGGGGCTGTTTCTGGAAGATGCATCTACATACAGCTCTGCCCAGGCTGCCAGGCTGGGCCTTACTCCCTCTTGGGTTAGGCTGAGTTAGAAGCAGGCCCTGAACTTTGCGTGTGGGTCGTTTGTGCAGGAAGGGATCTGGGGAGCCTGGACCCTGAAGGACTCGCCCTCACCCAAGGCCTTCCTGGGCTGCAGAGGAGAAGGCAGCCAGGACAACCCTCATGGGGAGGAGGAGGAGGTGGCCAGATCGCCCAGCTCCTGGTGGGCAGGGAGAGAGAGTGGGAGGCTCTCTGTCCAGGGCCTGGCAGACCCTCACTCCTCCCCAGGGTGCCCCTGGTGCTCTGGCCCACAGGCTGGCCGGCAGGGTACAATTCCCCTCCCTTGGGAGGAGGACGCAGCCAAGGCCCCTCACAGCGAAGGCAAAGTCAGCCCCAGTGCCGTGAGACAGGCAGCTCGGGACGGAAGCAGGGGAGCCCCCTGCACATACCGCGGGGTCACCAGCACTGCAGGAGCCCCCGTAACCCAGGCCCCAGCCCTGGGCAGCGCCTGCCACCTTACTGCCTCTAACCGGGCAAGGGGAGTCTGGCCTCTGCCATTCAGTGCCCGCAGCCCGCCCAGCAGCCCACTGCCTGGGGCCATGCACCGTATCTGGGGCCTCAGGCGTCACCACTGGGGTGTACGCTGGTGCACGCACAGAAGTGACACATGCCGTGTGACTCGGGGGTCCCAGCGAGGTTCCTGGGAGAAGAAGTCCGAAGGGAGGGGCAGGCGAGGGGCCCTGCAGCACAGGGCAGAGCCTGCACAAGGCCGCGGGTCCCAGAGGCCAAAGCGGCACAGACCGGAAGGAGCACAGCGGCGCTCTGCCCTGCAGCCCCGGGTGCAGAACCCGCTAGCCGGCCGGCTGCAGTACAAGCGCGCAGACAGCAGGGGGCGTCGCCAGAGTCCCGCCTGCGAAGGGTCGGTAACCACCCAGCGTCACGGGTGG